AGTGAGAAGTGAGGCAGTGGTGACACTTTCAGTGTTCTATGGCTCACCCCATACAAACTTGACAAATAACTAATGTGTCCTTCTCCTGCTTGGGGGGGGGGGTCATATTCTTCCCATCCCTGTGTTACTTGGGGCTCATTTGCCCCTCCCCCTTACATTCCAGGCAAAGAGTATACCCTGGTCAAGATGAGATGAGGTCTCTCATGGTTATGCCCCTGCCATCGGGTATGTCACTCTCCACGGGCTTCCCTTTTGGTGTTTTCTGAAGAGAGTTCATCTAAGTTTTAAATATTTTACACTGACACCTCCACCATTTCAATGTGGAATTGTAGCATTTCTGTGTATGTAGAGGTGAGTGATAATATCAGAAGTTACCATTTCCCTCCACACACATTCCCATCCATACTCCCAACTACCAATACACATTTTTTTCTTGCCTACTCAGAGAATGATATTATCACAAGTGCAAGTTCATAGGGGGAAATTGCTGTGCATTGAGGTTGTGTCATCCTTCTATGGGTGGAGGACTTTTGTCACATGATGACATCATCATACACCAGGTAGATGACATTAAACACATGAATTTAAGTAGGAGTTACCTCAATGCTAATAGCATGTAAATCTCATAGGCAGATATGTGAGGAAGATAGCATTTCTATGTACAGAGGTGAGTATCTATTGAAAATACACTTTCAGATTAAGAAAATGTTAACTTTCATAGCTAAGCATACTTTTGTACAGAAGAATATAATTTCTTAGCTATCTAGGTTTGCAAGCTTATTCTTGGAACTTATAAATTTTATAATTAGTATAATAACTATGTAATAACTTGTTCTCATATTAGTTTAAAAGAAAATAAATATTATTTTTTTATACACACTTTCTGTGCCAGAAATGATGTACTTCTTTCAAAGTTGAAAGTAAAACTTCAGTTTATTTCTTTATTCCTTAATGAAACTAAAAATATTTTAGAACCTTTTTCATTTGTCTTCTTTTATAAGTAGTTAAAACCTAGTGCTGTAAGAGTGTATGTCTAGATGTGACAAAGCAACATAAAACACTAAAGTGAATTCAGTTTTAATATGGATTTATATTTGAAATGACACTTTTAAATCCACCAAGAACGATGTATGTGATGACAAAGTCACACATAATACTAAAGTGAACTGTAGTATTCTGTTTTGGTATGTCTTGATATTATACAGGACACTTTGCAATCCACTATGGACAATGTATGTGTTTTAGCATATTTTGGTTTGATATTTGTCAAGGTTGTGTAATGTATATGGTCGAAAATTCACCTATTATATGCTAAACTTACAATGTTTTAGTTATCTTTTGTTTTTAAAAAGGTGAGTGATTGGCAGGAAGGAACTGCAGCTCCAGTTCTTATAAAGGTAAAATACTACCAACTTGCAGAAAACATCTTTCATTGATTCTTTTTATTTTCAGTTTGGTTCTTCACTCCCATTAGAATTTTACTGCTGTGGTACTCTTGTTATTGTTTCAATGGTGACTGAAATTTCAAAATGGAGTGGTTACATTAAACACCACCTGTGCACTAGAAATGGAAGACCCTTAATTCTATTATTAGAAACTTAATATGCTCGCTATATAAAACATTTAAATAATAAAATATCTTATAATGGTGTTTATAAAATTTAGGAATTTTGATAATTTCCATTATTTATGAGAATTTGAATATTTGCTAAAGTTCTTTATCTTACTTTCAGGATAACAAAATCTATCATTTTAGAGATTTGTTGGTTTCAGATATTCATAACTTATTTGTAGTCCCAGTTTTTTGTAATATTTATTATACTTATTTACAAATTTTCACCAACTGTAGGAGCTTGTTGAAACCAGCAGTAGCTGTTTAGCACACTCTCTAATGAGAATGGTTTCCATAATGATGAGTGAGGCTTGTCCAAAAAACACTTCATCCACTGAATTGCGATATATACGCAGCTGGTTGGTGGGAGTATTCATCTTCTCGACTATCTGGTCTATTGGAGGAACCTGTGATGCGACTGGTCGTGAAAAATTTAGTCTATTTTTAAGAGAGCTATTATCAGGAGTGGTTAAAAATTGGCCAATTCCTCATGTAGTTGGCAAAATTGATTGCCCTTTACCTGGTGATGGTCAAGTCTATGACTACGTTTTTGAGGTAAACTCTGTAAATGAAATAATTAAATGTTGTTTTTTTTAATGTCAAACGAAAAATATAGGAGACACAAAAACACTGCATTTTAGTACAGATAAATAAGTTGTGCATTATTAGAAATTTTCGAATAATAAATGTCCACTGTTACATAAAATGGAACTTATATTCAATAATTGATGCCTTGTCAGTTCATTTACTTTAGGTCATTGCATTCTAAATAAAATACTAGTTCTGGTCTCTGCTAGCATCAATATTAAGAGAAATCTAATATGTAAAAAAAAAGTCAATATGTAGAAAGGTGGATGAATATAACCTGTTAAGTAGCAAAACTAATCAACTACGAAACTAAAAAAAAGCAAAACAGATTACTTGACTGTAAAAAACAAAGAAAATATGAAATGCTAACTTGTAAGGATTATACCAAAAAAATAAAACTTATTGGTGCAGGATATAGTAGAAAATCTTGAAACTAGTTTGGCCAGGACTAATGCAATTGGCAGCATTTAAAATATAATAGAAAATAAAACACTGTTGCAGGCTGTATTTTTGATATTGTTGTAATGCTCTTTTATTTGACTGGTTCTTAAAAATTACTTGTTGAATATAAGACCAAGTCCAGTCACACCATGATAAATTAGTTTATTCCTTTTTACAGGTTACTACTACTTGTACACAGTTGTACTTGTAGGTCTAAATTCATAAGTAACGTTTTCACTTTCTAATTCAACAAAGATTTACTCACTAGGATTAGTGTACAAGTAAATTTACTTGTATAATTTCAGAGTTAATCAATGAAGTGACTGAATATGTGTGATAATTAAAACTATCCGAATACTCTACTGACTGATTGGTACTCTAACAACTGAAAACTGACTGGTTCATTACTAACTGCTTACTTTTATTTATAAATTGTGTGCCCATCTATATATCTTAGTCAAATATATTAGATCTTAACCTCATGCACCCTCTAGCTAATGTCTAAATTAAAATTAAATAGTTTGTTTTTCTTGTGGTGGGATTGTACAGTTATACCATGTCACCTTGGTGTAATCCAGTCTTATCAGGATCAACATCAGAGCAACTTCTCATCTTATTGCTACCTGATCCAAGTGTTTCCTGGGTTAAGTCATGTATGACATTGATGGTGTTCCTTAATCTCTTTATTTCTTCTGTGTAAGACTTTTCTAAGTGACTGTCCTCTGGATACAAGTACAGAATACCCAATGTCACTTTAGGTTCTCTACCAAACATAAGTGATGGTGTGTTGCCTTTATCTTCATGTACTGCTGTACAAGAAGTTACTGGTTAGTAACAGAAAAAATTCTGATCCCACATTTTCTGATGTTCATCCACAAATGGCTAATTGCTTTAACATTATGCAGTTGTATTTCTCTACCATGCCATAAGAAGATGGATGAAGGGTTGTTGTACTAATCTTTTTTATTACAAAAGTCTGACACATTTCCACAAACAAGGGTGGCTCAAATTTCCAATACAGTATATTACCTTCGCTCATTTGTATATCTGTTCTTGTTTAGTGTTGCCCTCTATATGCAAACATTTTTTCACATGGCACAAGCCTTGAACTCCCATGTACCTTACGATCAATGTGGTTCAACTGTGTCTTCCATATAAATCATCATGTGACACACACCCCTAATGCAGGTGAATTCGTCTATTCAATTTTACTGAACTATCACTTCTTGTTATGTAGTGAATGAGTGCAGACGTTTTTCAATTGTGCTCTTTTCACGTGTTAATTTTTTTTTTTTTTTTGTCAAAGTAGTGATTTATTTGATTTATTCATTTACTACAGTTAGTTTTTTGTAGTGGTTTGCCCCAAAACTTACCTTTTTTTATTGATTTTTTTTCTCATTTTCGACTTCATCACAGTTTAAGACAAATTCTGAAATTTGTGTTTTATAACTTCTGATATTTTTACCACTATTTGAGTTCCATTACACAGGCTTCAAGTTTGAGGGTTTTTTGGCTACCATTCATACGAAGATTGATCACTATATGTGTTGTCCTTCTTCTCCCTAAAATGTATGGGTTGTTCCTGCATCGTCTGAACCTGTTCATGATGATGATGATTTTTACAGCCATTTTCCTCCTTCTAACTGTGTGATTTCCCATGCTTCTCCTATGGAATCTACTAGGCCTAACTCTGCCTTTTTTGGATATGCTTTCTCAGGTATGTTCCATTTTCTCGTTTTCACCAATTTATTATGATACTTGTTAAATGACACTCATCTTTAGTGTACCTTGTTTTCTCTTCTTCCCCTGATATCAGGATTTCATGCTGAGCATTTCATTTCTCAGTTGAAGCCTGATGTTAGCATGCCTCGTCCTCCCTGGGCTTATTATCATTATACTTTGGCTTATCAGCAGGCTAATCAGCCCTTTCTCAACTCCCAGCAGTCACTTTTGCCAGTGTGTGGGGGGCTGTCTCTGAAATTCCCATCCATTTCTCTCATACCCAGTTTCTTGCCTTCATCTTACCCTTACAGCTGTCCTACAGTACTTGTCCAACACATACCTCCTTTCTAAGACACTCCAGCGGTCCCCTGAAGATTTGGAGGGATACCCTTTCCCTCTTTGTCTTCATGTTGGTGCAATTGTTCTCTTCAGCTCTCTCCCTTTTCACCTGGTTTCGTTGCTGTTCGGATCTTAATGAGAAGGATGCTGTCTTGTCACAGATTCATCTACCTTCCATTTATCTTCGTGACTTACAGATGGATTCTTTTCTCCATCGATCTGTTTTTGGAGGTTTTCCTGAATCTTTAAAGTCACATGGGAAATTTGTGAAACCACATTCGACTCTTTAGCTTTTGGTTGCTTGTTTTTCTTATTCGGATACCATGACTTCTCCCATAATTGTTTATTGTCCTTGAACAGTTCCTACCACTAGGGCTTCAATGTCTTGATGTCACTGGAACTGGAACTGCTAATGATGGCCACCAGTTCCAGTAACTATCTGGTCTTTTTCTGTCTAGTGGGGGCACATTTGGCCGATTTTGTTCACCGGTGGCAGTATTCACTATCGATACTTGGGTGATCCAAGTTTTTTCAGAGACTTTTCATCCCCCCCCCCACCACACACACTATGTCTCCTGTACTAATTTCATTCCCATTAACTCAGGATCCCGCTACCAATCTGTGTCTATCTGAGGCTGTGCAGACCCTTATATCAAAGAGATTTTTCAAATCTGTCAGACACCCTTCTCTCGGTTTTTACTCCAGGCTTTTTGTTGCCCCCAAAATAAATCGGGCTACTAATAATGGCTGGAGACGGCTTGAACGCTGTCTCCAGCCATTATTAGTCTCAAAGTGAGTTCCTCGTCATCGAATTTGAAATCAGGGTACTGGCATCCTGTGATCCATGTGTCCTACCTCAACCAATTTATGGATCTTCCCTGATTTACCATGGAGTCATTTATCTCACTGAGGTTTGCTTTTTCTTCAAGTCTGTAAATTACCATGGTAGTTTTCTCGATTGCTTATCTCCATATTCCTATTTCTCATCAGTTCAGACACTATCTTCGGTTTGTCCACTAAGGGGTTATATATCAGTTTCACACCTAGCCTTTTGGGCTTGATTCAGCACCATATGTATTTTATCGGGTGATCAAGGCCTTTGCCCAACTTATGCATGCTTCAAGGTTGCATTTACACAACTACAAGGACGACTGGCTCCTGTTAGCTCATTGTGAACTGGAGTCTTCTCAGTACACACACACTTGCTTTTGATAGTAAAAGCTCATGTTGGTTGGATTCTCAAGTTATAGAAGCCTTTCCTTTTGCCTACACACTATTTTATCCATTTGGGTTTATTTTTAAACACCCACCTATTGGAATCTCCATAGCCATTGGATTCTTGCTTGGGATCCCTTAGCCTCCCAATTCACCTTTCATCCTTCCCTTACAGACAATCTGCATTGGTGGTTGAACAAAGACAACACAATGAAAGGAGTATCACTTCTTCCGCTTCATCTGGATTTGCATCTGCTCACAGATGCTTCTCTCCAAGGTTAGGGAGCATGGGCTCATCACAGGAGGCTTCTGTATAATGGTCTCAGATCAAAATGTCTTACCATATCAACATCTAGTAACTTCTGGTGGTATGAAATGCTTTGATTCATTTTTTTCCTCTAGTACTGAACTGACACATAACACATTATACTCCATTCTGACTCTTCCACCATTGTGGCCTAAGGGAGCATTCATTTCTGTTCTCTTTATGGGGAAACATTAGAACTTCTTTATTGGGCCCACATGCTGCAGATAAGTCTCATATGTTATGTTCTGGGTGCATTTCACTTTGTGGAAGATTGTTTTTCAAGACCCGACAAGCTTTACACCACAGAGTGGTCTCTTCATCCTCAGATTTTTAGGTGGCTATACAATAGGTAAAGTACTCCTCATCTGGATACTTTTGCCAATTTACTCAAACACCGAATTACATCATTTTTGGTCTCTGATTCCTTATCTTCAGGCCCTGGCAGTAAATGTTCTCTGTCAGGACTAGACCAACCAGTACCTTTTGTGTTCCTTATGGTTTCGTAGGCCTCCTCATCATGCGGTGTGTTCTGGATTGTGATGTCAATATGGTACTTCACTTCCTACCAATCCCTCCATTTGAACCTTTGTTCTCATGTTCATGTTTCACCTATCCATTCACTTATTCCTACTCCTTTTAGTCTGTGAGTGTTCTTTGGTCTGATATATTTGCCATTGATGTTTCACTTTTTTTTTTCTATTCCACATACATTCTCTTTTATCCGGATTTATCTTTCCTACCCAAAACTTCGGTGGCTCATGAGTGACATTCTTTATTCTCACCAATTGCACTTCCATCCATTTCCTACCTTTTTTCCCGGGTCTGATCCAGAAAGACTTCTATGTCTAGTATATGCTCTTCCTTTTTACATGCCTACACAACTTCCTTTAGTGGTTCCCATTCCCACCTTTTCATTTTCTGACACCATTCATCTGTACATGACCTTTCTCCTTCTACCCTTCCAACTTGGGTTCATTACCTGAATCAATTGGTCTATTCTTCCCTGTCTCTTTCTTCCTGAATTCTCTTCCAGGTGTTGTCATATCAGATCAGGCTCCTTATTTTTTTTTCCTGGCATTTCGCCTCCATCGTCCATTGGAGGAAATTATTCAGTCAGACATGTGGATTCTACCTCATATGTTCATCATTTTAGTGCATAGAAAGCCTTTACATTCAAATTTTTCTCTGATTGAAATGATAAAAATTATTAGGTTTATAATTTTGGAACTGAGGTATTCAGACAGCTGGCTATTTTTTATATATAGAAGAGTCAGTCACAGTTGCATACTTTTTCACAGCTATGACGTCTACAGCACCATATCTGAAAGTTTGCACTAATTCAACTAATAACAAGTATTAGGCTTGTGATTAACAAACTGAGGTATACAAGTAGTTGAATGCTTTTTTGATAGATACTTGAGTCAAAATTATGTACTTATTCATGGTCCTGAAAGTTTGAAAAAACATAATTAAATAAAAATGTGAAGTTTGCTTTTATTGTGTATTTATTAATTCTACCCATGTTATGGGCCTCAAAAAATGCACTACAACAGTAATTTACTAGGTTTTTATATTTTTACCCTAAAGGAGAGAAATAATGAACACATAAAACTAAAAGAGAATAACTTAAAATAGAAGATTGAATTCTAGAGAGATATGGAATGGTTTGCTCTGAAAGAGTAACTAAGTTTCTTAGCTCTGAGAAAATACATTGTTAAGAATAAATACTTTACCAACAGAAAATATTTTCTGAAAAGTTCTACATGAGAAATTGTAGGTATCAGTTTTAACCACTTGGTTTACAATGACCATACTCCTAATGTGACAGTTTACAGAAGTAATAGCCACAACTGATTACTTAATTGGTGAACCAGTACAGTGTTTTCAAGGACACCACATTAAAAGTTTCTTTATTATTCAAATTAAATTGCCATAATTGAAAAATATCTTGGTTCCCATAGTTATTGATAATTACAAGTAAATAAAAGCAGATAAGAATTTGTTAAATTAAAGACAAATTAATGAAGTGTTTAATCAAAAGGCATTTTTGTTAGATTTTGAACCATCTAAACAAATTTGTTTTATCTTTTATGTTTTTGTCCTGGACATGTAAGCATTTTACCTAGATTCTCTTACACACAAGTTGTTTCAACCTGTAATATAGGTTTAATTGTATTTATCGTTTTACATGTAGGTATTTGTTTAGGTGTATCAAAAGTTTATTTTCCTGTCTTTTCATTTTCAGGCATTTAACCACAAAAATGTGATATTTCCTTGATTATACATTTAATGCTCTTTCTTACTGAGAGTTCAAACATATTAGAAATTATGAATTTATAGTGAAGCTTACATTAAATTCTTGTTTTTGGATTTAATTATATGCGTTCTATAAGTTTTCCTAGATACTAGTTAGAAAACTTCATACGTGCAATGTTGTTCTTTCTAATGTAGCTACCTTGTTTCATAACAGATAAAGGGAAAAGGACAGTGGCATCAGTGGAGTGATTCTGTGAAATCCCTTGATTCTGACAAAGTAAAGATAAAGGAGGTTATTGTCCCCACAGTGGACACTGTTCGATATTCCTACCTTATGGATCTCTGTATTTTACACAACAGGTCTGTATGACATTTAAGGTGCATTACCTTTTACAGCTATAGAACTCTTATTCCTAAAGTATCTTGTTGTATTTTGCACAAAGTTAAAAGAGGGCTATCTCTGCTATCAGTCCTATATTTTCAAGTAAGGAGTTATAAGGAAGGCAATGACACAACATCTCCCACTACCAACTCTTGAGTTACTCCTGTCAGACAACATTACCAGCTACTAACTCCTGAACTACTCCTGCCAGATCAAATAACTTATAATTCCCCCACTACCAACTCTTGAGCTACTCCTGTCAGACCAAATAACTTATAATTCCCCCACTACCAACTCTTGAGTTACTCCTGCCAGACCAAATGATTTATAATTCACCCACTACCAACTCTTGAGTTACTCCTATCAGACCAAATAACTAATAATTCACCCACTACCAACTTTTGAGTTACTCCTATCAGACCAAGTAACTTATAATTTGCCCACTACCAACTCCTGAACTACTCCTGCCAGATCAAATAACTAATAATTCACCCACTACCAACTCTTGAGCTACTCCTGTCAGATCAAATAACTTATAATTCACTCACAGCCTCAAAGTGTGGAGCATAGTTTTTTTGTGTGTGGCCACAGTATGTGAATCATGAAACATCAACTCCATTATCTGGCCAAAAACCACCGAGCTGAAGTTAGTCCTCTGTCTAAAATACTTATGCATTTTAGCACAACAGTTTTATGTACAGTTGGGAAAAAATTAAATTTTGCATGGCTTGAAAAACATTAATGTTTAAGAACCGAAAACTGTTTCAATAGATGATCATTCATACTTGTAACATGCGACATATTTTTTTTGTATTTACAGCTATAACTTAATTAATTCTATTTCATATATCACAACAGGTATGTATTTGGTGAAAAGATTGAGTACTATCCAGGGAAACAATTAATTAGATGTTAAGGAATTTGATCATTAGTCATCTCTGGATCACATTTCAAATTTTTTTAAAGACCAGTGAAATTTCATCCAATTGATTGAAATACAAAGAGAAAATTTTCCTTTAGTTTGGTTAATATAGATTAAAATAATAAAAGTATATCAAATAAAAATATTAAAAGAGATGATAGAATATTATTGAGATCATAATTATAAGGAAATTTAATTTCAGGCATATAGGTTGGGAAATGTTAAAGTCAACTCATGAGGAAGAAAGAAATTGCTTAGGATAGTTTTTTCACTCTTAGTCAAGGAACCTACAAGGAATAATGCTATTTGGAATCTATTGTTAACTTCTAATATAGAAATGGTTGATAGGATGGAGATTGAGGAACATTGGGTTAAAGTAATCATTGCTCAATTAAGTTCGGTGTTTTGATGCATATGGAAATAAGGAATAATAAAATTTTAGTTATAAGTTTCAAAAAAAGCTAATTTTGAAGGGATGACACAGTTAGTTTACGGGAAAACTCAATGTATTCTTGAATGATAAAAGCTGGCTTTGAGTATTTTCTTTTTAGATTTAGTTTAATGGATGGAATGGCCTAGATGAACCAAAAGGTTCCTTGTTGACCTTAAATTGTATATATATTTATAAATTCAGTATTATAGTTGAAACTAATGTAAAAATGTTTGTTTTATATGATCTTGGCCTTGGTAAATATCAGTCAGAGCTGAACATTAGTCATTTATTTACTGGGTGTTTCTCTAGTTTATACTATAAAATCTAAATATTATTATGAAGAATTAATGGTTATTAAGCAGTAATCTGCAAAGCACATTAAAATAGCAGGGTTCATTGACAAAAGAGGGCACTTTTCAAATATCATAAAGCAAGCTTTTTTTATTTGGGAGGGGGGTGTTAAAGTAGACTATGGATTGCCTCTGGCACACATATTGTAAAAACCATAGAAGCTTTTTTATTCTTATTCATTTGGTCTTATAAACATTTTATGATCTAAACTAAACAATGAATTATTGCATATTAAGTACTTAATAGTATATGAGTGTTTTTTTTTGTTGTTTTTTATTATAAAGACCTATCAGTCCTTATGTGCTATAATTTTTACACTGAAACTTTATATTTTTTCCTAATAACTCACAATAAGCAATGCGTGTAATCAGATGTATCGTTTTGTAGTTGTTAACAATTTTAATGACTGAGAAAAAAGGTCTCTTTTAAGGCATAACAGCAGGAAGGCAAGGGCTTGAGCCTACTCAGCCACCCCACTGTGCATGTTACTAAGAAATAGTTGATAAAGTAGAAAGCATTTTAGGAAAAAAAATTCAGTAACTGTATTTTCAAAGTACTGAAACAAACCTAATGAAATGATTAAATAGCTTAAAAATTGTATCAGTGATCCCAAATCTCCAGTACTTACTACAACATTAGTAATAGTTATTAATCACATAAGAATAAGTAAAATAGTAAGGGTGTATTGTTACTATTTATTTGATTGAAGTTGAGCCCCCAGTGGCTCAGCATTAAGTCTGGGGCTTTTATACCCAGTGTAGACACAGACAATAGACATTGTGCAGGTTTATGCTTAATAACAAGGGAATAAATGACTGCAGTTGTATTACCACATTTTATATAGTATGAATTTTTATAACTTAATATCTTCAGTGTGTCCCTATAGCGCAGTGGACAGCGCGTTGGATTTCTAATCCAAAGGTACCAGGTTCATTCCCCGGCAGGGATGCCACCACCACCATTGCCTGGTCCCAAGTCCAGGATGAGAAAGGAGGAGGGTTGGGCGCGGGACTAGCAACTCCGCCCCGTAAAAACCAACCTGCTAAAAAATTACTGCAACAACAACTTCCGTTGGCGAGGTGTTGTTGGGGCCCTATGCTCCAGTGGGAGTCTACAGGGATTATTATTATTATATTAAGATATTCAGTATTACAGCTGATATCAGATAACCTTTCAAGTACTAAGTAACATGATTTCCCTTATGCTTTAGACCATTGCTGCTGGTAGGACCTACAGGAACTGGCAAAAGTGTTTACGTACAGGACAAACTGCTGAATGGTCTACCACAGAATAAATTTGTACCTTCTTTTCTGACTTTTTCTGCCCAGACTACTGCAGGACAAGCTCAGGTAATCATCTGTTTGCTTTCTGCATCTTTTCTTTGATATGTTTTGCTCAAACTACTTTGAAACAGGCTCAAATTGATAATGTATTAACTGAGCTAATTTTCTTATTATTTATTAGCTAGCCATAACCAAAAATTGGAAATAAAGAAGGTTAGAGCTGACTAGTATTAAAAGTTGTTTATATTTCAAATTATGAAACCACCACATAAAGTTTATAGTTTAGTGGTTTGTCATTAGTAATTAGTAATCACACATCAATTTCATAATTCTAGTAAATGTTATAATAATATTAGTAGTTATATAAAGATTGTTTTACATTATTGGATTATGTAAATTTATAACATAACTAAATAGATTTCATAAGCTAACAAACTTTGTAAGATTTTTCTAGATATTACAGCCCAAACCATCTATCTCATAAGAGGCACTCAAAAGATGATTAATTCTATCATGATAGGGTGGGTGTATCTCACCTCAAGGGTAAATTACACCATTAACTTAAAAAGAAAGTTGTAGAAAATAAACTTGCAGTCATTCTTTCATATATTTAAAACAAATAAATTCTTTTAGCTAAAATTTATTCAATAAAAAAGGCTTATTTATTTGATTTTATACATAAAAATAAAAACTGAATTTTGATTATCGGTCAATTTCAGTATTTTCTGAACAGAAACATTAGCATTTGTAAATTTCTTGTATTTTTCTGGGTACAGTACAGCACTCATAGTGAGGAAGGTCAAAATAAAGCTAACTTGACCTTGTAACTTCTATAAAAGTGTAATTTTATGATTTTAGCTCATTCATGTATTTTATCTTCTGTTATCATGGTGTGATGTAACTGTCAATATCTCAGCTTTGAGAAGTCACAAGCTAGTGATCTAATATGTGTGGTACAGGACTTTACCATGCAATTGATCGTAAGTGGACGAAGGTCACATGCATAAAAGGTTTTGTGCATGAACCTGACTTAAGATTTTATTGTATATTTTGTATTAAAAACCAACTGGAAATGTCTTAGAAATTTACACCATACAAAAAAAAGAATACATTGAACTTTAAAAGTAATTTTATTACTTTAACATAAATAATTTAAAATATAAATGTTTAAGAATGGCGAGTTATTTAAAAATCTATATATATGTTAAATTCAGTGTAAAATAAAAAGAAGATGAAAAAAAAAACAATTACCCATTAATTTCTGTCTTTACAAAACTGAAGAAAACAAAGACATTTTTACATTTCACAAGTATGTCACTTATTATGACACTGAACTAGTTTGTAAACAAGTATGTATATTTAACAAAAGAACTGGAAGAAACTTTGACATTTACCCTGGGACAGGTAGGGGAAAAGTGAGGAGGTTAAGCTGATTTGATCATTTTGAACTTTGTCTGTTTTTTGTTTTTTTATATTTCTGTTTATTTTTAAAATTTCTGGGTTATTTGATTTTTTTATCTTGTTTTCACAGACATGTAAATTTTGTAGTTTTTTTCCATATGGAACTAATGAAAATGGTAAAGACTAAATAATCTGGAAACTTTAGAAATACTAAAACTAATCCAGACAAAGTTCTAAATGAAAAAATCAACTTAAGTTTCCCCACACTTCTCACCCTTGCCTCAAGTTACTTCTTGTTCTTTACGTACACACACACACACACACACACACACACATATATATATATCTACCTATTTACAAGCTAATTCAGTCTGTATTTAATGATGCCTGTACTGGAAAAAATAGTAAGTGAAATATTTGTGAAATGTGCTGTTGTCTTATTTTTTCCTTAGTTCTATAATTGTGAAGTTTCACCAATGGTTTCAAGTATTAATTATACTTCTGTCTTTGTTTATTGTACAGGATATTATCATGTCAAAATTGGAAAAGCGAAAGAAAGGTGTATATGGACCTTCTTTAGGAAAACGTTTTGTAATTTTTGTGGATGATCTGAATATGCCAGCAATGGAATTGTATGGGGCTCAACCTCCAATTGAACTTCTACGACAGTATTTTGATCACAACTATTGGTAATATTTGAGTATCACACTGTATAGAATAATTTGTGATTAAAGAACATAAGAAAAGTCATTTAAAAATATATATATACTTTTCAACTTTAAAATTAGAAGGTTCTCCTATATGTTAGTAAACTCCCCAATAGAACCAAATGTTGTTGCGAGCTTTAATTGAATTTCGTTTTGATTCTATTGTGATTTGAACATACTCTAGTTGTTATTTTATTACGAATTACAACTTTTACAGTGAGGAAGAATATTTTTAAAACATCCAACATTTTGTTCAATAGTGCAATCATTCCCATGTATACAAGTTTCAATTGTAAATAAGGTTTTCATATTTAAATCAGCATTCAACAATTAAAAATATATTTAAATTTAAATACATTATTAGATTTTAACTGTTGATTTAAATACTAAAACCTTCTTTACTGTTAAAACTTGTGTGTTTGAGAATGATCACATCAATGATTGAAATGTCATTCTTGTTTTAAAAATATTCTTCTTTACTGCAAAAGCTATAATTCATAATAAAATAATACTTATAATCATAAAGTAAACTCAAAACTGTTAATACTTCCAATATGATACTTCCTTCTTCTCACAAGATGAGTTTTCCCATTTTGTACTGCTCAATATATGAGAACTTTTTTTTTATAATGCATGCCATAAGCCTCCCAACATGCGTCATCTCTCCACCAACAGGAAAGTAGTACTATCATGTGATGTAAGTGGCTCCCTCTATGTTCCACTATGGAACTATCACTTCTCGTTTGGCAGTACTAGAGTGAAGACGTCTCTCTTTTAAAATTCATTACTCTAGAAGTGGTTTAACTTTATTTAACTTCATTTCATTTTAATTTGATAGCTTTTGATTTACCTGTCTTTGCCGCAACTTATTGGGTATCAAGCATGAATTCTTAAGTCAACATTACTACTTCGCCTTTGTCTGCTGCCATACTTCAGGGTGCAGGCGACCCGTCAGAGGATTTATCGGCCTTTATTCACAGGGAGATGGAGTGTTATATGGGACAACCTTTTCTCCTGTTGCCCTTCTTCCTCCTGAGCCTGGCCGGGCTGATGAGGATATTGATTGTTTGTCCTCCCCCCAGAGTTCACCAGTGTCTTCCCAGACCCTACCTGAGGATTCTCTTCAGCCCTCGTCGGTTTTCTCCAATTTTATATCTCAAGTATGTGATATTTTGTCTCTTGCCCCTATTCTTATGACCCACGCTCTTCCTTATAGCATGAATCTATCTCTCAACCTTATCTCTCCCCTGATATTCGGGTTCACACTGAGCATTTACCATCCAGTTGGGTGATGGCATTAGTTTGTCTTATCCCCCACACTCACTTATCATTGGGTGGGTTCTCTATATCTAAACCAACAATTGTTCGATTCAGTTTTGCCTATTCTCCTGTTCAACTTACCCATGCCAGTATTCCCACCTTTGTCTCCTTGATCCATTTCCTGTCTGAGGTTCTTCACAGGAACCCTGAGGGGTTTTCTAGGGACATCTTCTCACTTTCACATTAGCCTACCTGTCGTCTTTGACTCTGACCTTAGAAACGTGGTTTATTTGTTGTTTGGACCTTTTGGGTTGTGTTGCCATATTGTCACAGACCTGTTTTCTGGCTCTATATCTATGGGACCTTTATGTGGCCCTGTTTTTACGACGTTTTATGTTTAACACGATTCCTGAGCCCTTGGAGTTGCAGATGACTTTGGTCCAACAACAATCCACCCTTTCCCATGTGGTGGCCTGTTTGTTTTAGTCAGAGCTGGGTGTGTCACTGTTTCCTGTGTCCTGACTCTTTCTTTCCCACCCCTTGCCTGTTCCTCCTTCCCACGGTGCCACTGTTTACTGTTTTTCATGGCGACGCACGGTATGCCAACAGTGTTTTCAGTGGCTAACTGGTGGGTTTAGAACTGGTTGGAGCTTTCTCATCTAGCCAGTTTTGTTCATCATTGGAGCCCTTTCCTCTCCGATGTTTGGGTTCACAGAGTTTTTATCAGAGGAATTCGTCATACCGTTTCTTACCCTCCTCCCTTGTCCAGCATACCTCTTTCTTTTCCTCCTCCTCAGGATCCCTTTTCATGCCAGCATCTATCCAAGGCAATACACGACCTCCTTACACAACAGGCTATAGAACCTGTTCTATGTGGTTCATGGGGTTTTACTCCCACCTGTTTGTGGTTCCCTAACAGTTCAGGGACAGGAGGTCAGTAATCAACCTTTTCATCTTCAATTGTGCCCTCCTGTCCCTCTTCATTTATTCCCCAACCTCCTTTGTCAACCCCAGTTGCTGGTTTTGTGTCCTGCTCTTCACACCTGGCTTTTGTCCAGTCCCTGGCGAGGAGATCCAGTTTCTCATGTCGAGTAGCATCTTATTTAGCTCATTCAGTACGTCCTTCACCCATGGCTATGTATCAGTGAAAATCGAGTGTTTTTTGCTCCTAGGCCCTGGCTCAGCATATGCTGGCATCTCATCCTACGGTTGCTGGTGTCTCAGAGTTTCTTACTTGGCTTTTTGAGGAGAGATCTTCAGTCTCCTCGATTTCAAGTTATCAGGCAGACCTATCCAATACTTTTCGTTTTTTCTGTTACCACAGGGTCTTTCTTTCCCCAGTCCTTGACATGTTGTCTCGTTTTTTCCAGATGTGTCAGCCGCGTATACATCCAATGCTTCCGGATTGGGATATTAACTTAGTCCTCCATTCCCTTACTTTACCTCTGTTTGAACCCATTGCCTCTTCTCCTTGTTTCATCTATCCCTTAAGGCATATTTCCTTCTCCTCTTGGCCTGTGGGAGTCGTTGTTCAGATCTGTTTGTTATCAAAGTCATTCACACACTGTACCACCACACCTATCTTATCCTTAATCCATATGTTACTTCCAAAGACCTCAGTGGCTCTCGAAGGTAACTCCTCTTTTTTGCCCATTTCCCTACTCTCTATTTCTCATCTGTAACCTCGTCCTGATCTGGATAAACATCTATGCCCAGTACATTCCCTTCTTTCTTTGCCTGCACGGTTTCCTTCCAGGGTTGCCATTTTTGTCTCTTTCTCCCATAGTAACCCTCTTCCTCCAGGGATCTTTCTCGTTCTTCATCAGCCTTTGGAGGAGATTCTGGAGTCAGGCATATGGACCACCCCTCAGACTTTCTGCTTCCTTGGGGTATTGCCTATTACCAGTGGGTATCCTTCAAACTTTGATGTGGCTATGACACAAGGTAAGTCTTTAGTAATGCTTTTCTTTCAAGTGCCCTTGCTTCAAATTCATTTCTTGGATCCCACTCTGTGGTGAGTGGTGCCTGACCAGGTATTCTTTACATACACAAACAAATCCTTACTGTACACCATGTTGATTCGTGTGCTCGTTCCAATTGCTTCACATGTTCAGCTTGGAGATGGGTAGTTTCACAAAATCACTGGAGTGTGAATAACCTTGTAATATTTGCTTCATAAATAGGCTCGTCTCGGACTGTACCACCCATGGACTACATGGGTAAAGCAGAAGGTGATAGCTGCCCATCACTGCCATGATTGAATAAATCAGTATGGTCTGCTTTTCAAAATAGGGTTTTCATGATCACCCATTGTACTGTCTCTACTGCACTTCTCCCCCCTTTTATTCGAGTGGAATACAGGGGTCTTTACCACTTACCAGTTCCTAACTGCTGGGGTGATTGACCATGGAGGCAACCTGCTGGACAGGTTCCACACAGGTGGCTATAACCATTCAGTTCAGAGTAGGGCAGTGATGTTCTACTGGTGTAAAAGACATAATATCCTCCAGATTGAGTGACACATACCACAGAGTAAGATGTCTCAATGCAGTTCATCCCTTCGATTGGATGCCCTCGTGCGGATGTTGGTACCCCACAGGCTGGTTTTGGATATCGAGTGAACCAATCCACATAAGTCTTCACACAGGTTTGGGGTTCTCCATCTTCCTCCCTTGATTCCTCCTTCTGTGTAGGAGGTTGCAGAGGGTATATGTTGGAAATTTCTCTTTCTGTCCTGGGCACTCTTTCTTTTTCAATGAGGATCCTATTGACATTTGGGCATTTTGGACTAGTCTCATGGTTGCAGGAGTTGATTGCATGCGATGGACTTCCCTCAGCTACCGGATGACACATTCCTGGATCCCTAGCTCAATGCTAATCCTGTGTCATGCTCTGGAGTTGATGTTTTACTCACAGTCACGATTCTGGGGTTTGAGGTGAAGACAATATGACCCTCATCCTGCCCTCACATGAATGTTGGTACCCAAGGAGGAGGTTTTGGATGTAGTTGATTTACCAAGTATGGTCCATTGCACCATAGCCATTCTACACCATGGGATGCATCCTCCATTACCCACTTTCTTTCTGTGGGATTGAGTGTCTGTATTTATTTGGTTTGGAACACATTCCCAACTTATCCTCTCCCACTCAGATGTGCTACCTTCATTTCTCGCCACATTTGATCCTAGCTATTCATGGTGAAGAGATACCTGTTTCGGAAGTAGTAAACTGCCCCTCTTCAGATTATAGGATCTGTTTCTCTCATCTACAGAAGTATCCTTCAAGAGCTTTTGAGGAGTACGTCTGTTCTTCCCTCACACCGGTCTCTTCTTTTCAATGTGGGATTCTAGCTAATCTTGTGAGCGGAAGAAAGTACCATATTGGAAGTTATAATATTCCTATACTGAAAAAGTATTTCCAATTGGTACTTCCGTCTTTTCACACTTCCCATCTTTCCTCCCCATAATCTTCTGGTACTTACATCATCTGCCAAACTTTGAAGTGATAGTTCAGTAGTGGCGCATAGAGGGAGTCACATGTGCCAAGTGATAGTAGTACTCTCCTATTGGTGGAGAGATGACACATTATGATTTGCATGAGAGACATGTTGGAATCTTCGATTCCGATAGGGGGGGGGTGCAGAAGGCTTGTGGCATGCTTTATATAAAAAGTTTGCATATAGAGGGCAGTACAAAACAGTAAAAGCTAATCTTGTGAGTGGAGAGAAGTACCTTTTGTAAATACATTTTCAGTATAGGAAGATTATAACTTTAATTGTATATGTGCACAACTGAAATAATTTATTTTTTATCTTTTGTGGTGATAATAATAGTTATCAGCTTACATTAAAATACCAGCTGTTGTAATGAGTTAAAAGAAGAATATTTTATTTGTATATTGTTACATATATATATTAGTTCCCTTAACCTTATAATAGTTATAAATTGTGGATATTAAATGTTGATTTCTAGCTCTTTTGTACGTTGTTAGCTCTTATTGTTGTTTGAATGTTAGGACAAAAAATGTATTTTTTGTGTAATTTATTTTCCTTGGTCAGGTA